AGAGAAGCAATAGGAAAGGGCAACGTTGCCCATGGGCAGGGGGTAGAGCAAAAGGAAGAAGGACTATAAAAAAAGTGCCAAGGAAGACTGATAAGGCAGCGGAGGGGCAGAGGAAGTGCCAACAAAGGTACAGTTTCATTACTAAGGAAGTAACTCACCACATGCATTATTTTCCCGTGGGAACATGGAGTACCTGTAGAAATTCCAAGATAAAGATGCAGGTAATTTACAGTAAAGGTGCCCAGTAAAAATAATTTCCATTTATTGGGACTTGCTCCGTGCCAAACTTTTTATCTTCATTTTTAACATTTGTTATCTGTATTCTTACAGTATGCCTGTCAAATAAGTAATGAAACTCTAATTGTATAGTTGGGGAAACTGAGAATGTTCCATTGAAAGGACACCATAGGGAAGGGAAGCTAGCACTTGTTCTTTTTTCAGACATTGTCATTTTGATCTGTGTTATACATGCACATAATGTAGAATATTCAACTAGTTCTACAAGTTTTGTTTGAAAAAAGTAAGAATCACTCAACCTTCTCTCACCCCTGTTCTCCTCCCCAGAGGCACCCATTTACAAGGCTTATCGCTTATCTCCAAACATCAACTAACCAACTAGTCATCAAGCCCAGCAGGTTAACAGTTTGTGCCTCGTAGTCACTCTCTATTTATAAATAACATGCTTATATGGCTGCTTTATAATTTTTCTGTTTGGGGTATATCAGATAGGTTTTCTACAAAGAAACCCTGCATCTCTCCCTCCAACATTTCTCCTTTGCCCCATTCCCTCCATCTCCCCGAATAGAAGTAGATTACCATGATTAGAATAGTAAACTGTGTTTCCATGATTTGCTCTGTAGAACTGAGCCATATAGCAAACCCTGATTCCATTTTCCCTACACTTTGTTTGCCTTAGAGTATGTGGCAGCTATTTCCCTTATTTTGCTTAGTTTTTTACATTCATGCATATTTATCTCCAAATATTTGACTGCTAACCAGGAGGTTGGAGGTTCAAGTCCACTCAGAGGTACGTCAGAGAAAGGCCTGGAAATCTACTTGAGAAAAAAAAAATCAGCTGAATGGAGCACAGCTGTCCTTACCTACAGGAGGTTGACATAAGGTGTAGTTGGCTCAATGACTATTGCTTATGGGAGCGTGCAAAGCCAAAATCATAGCTCAAGATGTGGCCTAGGACTTCACTAGTCTTCAGTCCAGGTGGCAGGCTGGGAATTCCCGCAGGCTATTTAAGCTGGAGTCTTTAGGCAGAATTCCTTTTCTCTGGGACACCTCAGATTTGCTTTAAGGCCTTCAACTGATTGAGTGATGTCCACCCATGCTGTCAAGGATAAAGCTCTTTTACTTAGTATAGAACACCTAACAAGCAACATCTAGTCAAGTGTTTGACCAAACAATTAAGCACCATAGCCTAAGCCAGTTGATACATAAAATTAGTCAGCACAACATGTAAACAAAAAAAGCCTAA